TTGACATTTTATGGAAATTTTTAAAAATTTTGTTAAAATTCAAACAAAATTCTAAACCGTTGAAAAAAATTGGAAACTGTTAAAATTGTTAGGAAAATTCGAAGGAGTGACTGGAGATTCACAATTTTTTTGATTTAATTTCAAGGGATTTCGAGATTTATTTTGCAAATCCTCTGTTTTGGGTGTTTCTCATCCACGCTTCAGCAGATCCAGTCTTCGTGCTTCTTTGTGTTTTCTTCGTTTTTTTCGTTTTTTAACGGAATTTATCGGCTGTCGCCCAATCGCTAGAAGAAACGTGACAATGAAACATAGCAACTGATCCAAGTGTAAAGGACCGAATGAAAAATGGACGGTCCAATTGAGGCGGCCGAGCTGGATTAAACTGATAAAAATTTTGGCCGTTGATTTTGGCCATTCTGAAGCAACGTCAGTCCGAGCCGTGGAAAACTTTTTATGCGTTTTTTGCAGCTCTGCAATGCAGAAAACGCATATTGACGAGGGGTTGTCTGTGTGCCCATGTGTCTGTGTGTGCGTCTGTCTCGATTTTTCATCTCAACACCTATAAAAGCTGCAGGGTTGAAACTTTGGGAACTTGATCTACATGCACGTACGGGCCCCAATCCCCAAAATGGGCGCCCTTACCCGCGTGGTACTCGCGTACGAGCTCGCCAAAGTTTTTTACGGGCAAGTTCATAACTCGAGAAAGCTAGAAAGCTGAAATCTTAAGGGCATGTTCCTCGTCCAAGTGGGTATTAGTGAGCTGATATCCAGCCCCCGGGTAAGTGTGGTACGCGCGTACGGGTCCGCCAAATTTTTTCCGGGTAAGCTCATAACTCGAGGATGTGAGAAGCTAGAAAGCTGAAATCTTAAGGGGATGTTTTCCGTCCAAGTGGGTATTAATGAGCTCAAACCTATCCCTCGGGTAAACGTGGTACCCGCGTATGGGCCCGTCAGAATTTTTCTCGGGCAAGTTCATAACTCGGGGAGCTAGAACGCTGAAATCTTAGTGGGATGTTCCCCCTCCATGCAGGTGATAACTCAGGAGTCTGGAAAGCTAGATAGCTGAAATTTTGAAGGAAGGTTTCCTGACAGTCCTGGCGGCTGGTCTGAAATTCTTTTAGCTAGATGCATCTGCCAGAAAAACCAGTGCCGTTAGCGACAAAAATCTGCAGGGAGCTATGCAAAAAACGCATCTTCGCACGGGCAACTCGTGCGTTGGCCAATTATTTTGTCTTTGATTTCTTATTTGCATCACATTTCATCAAAAATTTTGCAGCGTCCTGGCCTACAGTTTGCAGTATCGTTCCATTATTCGATCAACACTTTCCACAATTCCTTCTGGTTCCGACTGTGAACTAAAAGCAGAACTAACTGCAGTTGAACTGATTTGGTCGCTGGCCGAAGCAATTTTCATCAGAACGGAACGTAAGTTTCTTCTGTAATTTTTTTTTTTTTTTGCCATTATTGCGAAGAATACTACCAATAGCATCGGCAAAACTAAGCAATGAGCAGCAAAAACTTCACTAGAAACG